TTCATGGGAGTGCTGCCAGAGGGCGCTGACGGGTGTTGAGTAGTGTTGTAGTGTTCCAAAGTGACTTTTTTGATTGTATTGTGTGACCCTTTGGAAAGGGTCAACTTGGCGAAGGTCCATGGGAAGTTATGAGAAATACAAGAGGTACTGGGGCCTTTTTCTTGAAGTGTCTGTTTGGGTATCCGAGGGTCACTGAAGTGTAGTGCCTTTGGAACTGGCGGGGGTATTTAGGAGGGAATGTTTGGGGTGTGGGTGCCCCCTCTCCCCTCTCTCTCCGCCCCCCACCCGTCCGTTTTTGGTTCTAGCGGTCTGAACGGCGGGTGTTTGGTTGCGAACTGTCGTGCTGTGAGTTGTTGAGGTCGAACGTGGTTGAAGGGGAGCGAATTTGTAACAAACACGTTCGTTTCGCGAGTGAGTGGAGCGCAGCGCTGGGCCACAAGGAACGAGCATTGACAACATCGGTTGGTAACATCTGACGAATGGTCAATACGCTCGATATGGTGAGCTACTGAGCGAGGTGTGGAGTGTTGGTTCGCAGTTTGAGTGTGTTTTTTCGTGCCTCTCGTCGAGATGATCAGCCCTTGCATGTTTCTCGTTGTATGTGAACGGTTAAGGTGAACTTGAACACGAAGTTCAGCTCTGGGGTTGCGCCTCGCTTCGGCAGCGCTCGACAACACCCCAATTGTACTATTGGGCTTGAATTTACTTGCTGTGGTGATTCTCGTTGTCCTGTGAGTGTTTATGAGCTAAGTTGGTAAAAAGTGTAGGAGCGGAATGCTCAGAAATTCTGGGCGATTGACAGGGCTGTGATAGTGGCTGTGCTTTTGGTGACTCCCATTGAGCGCATATGGCTGATCGGTGAGTCATATTGCTGTTCCAAAGCGTAGACACCCTCCTGGCGGTGCTTGTCAGCTGTTTGTAACATCATGGCACTCGAACAACACCACATTCACATCACCCTCCCATACCTATTCCCCACAACTTCCTCTCCCTCAAAATTGCATTCTAAATTTGCATATAACCTGGTATTTAAATGAACTAAGAATATATTCGGCCGAGTTCGCACACATGGCCGTTTGAGTTGTTGCCATGGACGAAGGTGCCACTGTTTCAAGTCGATTGAGAGATGTGGGGAAGGAGACTGATGAGGTCTCGTACAGGACGTCCTGTACGATGCATCGACGCAAGACCACCCATCACAGAGACAACCAAGGCCTCCAAGGGCACACCCACACCTTGCACCGTCGTGTTTGGCAGGATGCATGCTGTTTTGTCAAACATGTTTTGCAACACCACTTTTCGCAAACGTGTACAAATTTCTGCACCTGGTGGGCCATTGATTGGAGATCCGCAACAGTTGGGAAAGACTGGAACGCACGCCCAGTACCAATAATTTCATCAGTATCATTAATTTTCGTCAGTAATTTTCACCCAGTATCAGATCACCAGGGAACCTTCTGGAAGCGACGGATCCTCGCCATGTCGGCGCGTGACAGCGCGGGATGCCCCGGATCTCGCGAGTCTGCGGATGCCGTGAAGCATGTCCAGCTCCCATTTCTGTGAGCTGCCAATCGCGGTCGATCGCCATCGCTGTGTTTGAACCTCGGCGACGTTTCAGCTCAGCTCTTCTTCTACCATCGGGAATACAACATCCAAAAATCTGGATGGAGTTCACTAGAAAAAAAATGGGCCAAATAACACTTTCGCAAGTACACATAGAACACATTTCACCAGAGTTCTGCACGCTAAGAACACAAAAATAACACACAAACCCGTAAACTTTGTACACATTTGAACACGCGTTATTTTGCCCTTTTTTTCCTAGTGGTTGTAGCTGCGTGTGCGGTCCCTAATGCAGAGAGCCTGTCGATGCGCTGCCTTTCAATGTCGCTACAATGCCCGTGCACCAGCGTTTTATATGCAACAACGGCTGTAGTTTTGGCGAACATGGCGATTGATTTTGTGCCTGAATTCGTGTCCCGTTAGCGCCAATGGGAAGTCGACGCGCAAACGGCTGCAGCAACATTGGCAGGAAGAGCAGCAACAAATTCGTTGCAGCAAGGCCCACAGACGCTACTGCAACTCCATCCCGATTTCCTGGTGAAGAACGTGCCCACTCTTGCGAAGAGCGTTTCGGGAACTGGAAGCCCATTTGGGGTGCGTGTGAGACATACTGTGAAGGTTCAAATTACGGTCTGGGGTCGCACAGCTCTAATGTGCTGACCTGTGCGGCAAACATAGCTGTTCTCTCGTAGCGGTTAAAAGATCATGCGATTTTTGGGCAGTAGTGAACGAACGCATAGTTCGCACCCTGGTTTAATTTGAAAGAGAAATGATCAGCACATGAGCACAATCCGGTGTCCCAAACAAATCGTTTCATTTATACCTGGACAGAGGAAGTGGTCCGCTTGTCAATGACAAATGGACTACTACACATTTTGCTTCAATGCATGCGCACCATTACCGCGTGTTCACTGTCGCCTTAAGATCTCTTTTGCTAGCTTTCAAGATGTTGGCATCACAGTCGCACGAGAAGGAAGTTTCGTATGGGGCGCGTCCACCATACTGCATCTTGCAAGACTTCAAGATGGGTAAATATACATGGAAGACAATTCGATAGATCGGTCCGACGTCATATCAATCGTAAATTCTATCTGAAAAACGAATCGCGAGTCGTTTTCCCAATCTGACCATGGACATGCCATTGCCTTCACTAGTAGCCCAAGCGAAGTATTGCATTGTTTCCAATTACTAGCACAAGGCCAAACTGTACATGAGTTTGTTTCTTTCTAGAAGTACTGTCTAGTTGCTTGCTGCATAAAGCGTGCATTTTAGTCCATGTGTCACTGCCATTGCCCCTCAGGCCTGTGGGACGACGCATTGTGCATATCACATCCCACAATATAGTGCGCAACTAGATATGACGTTATGCAATTATTTTACCGCTGCCTATACCCCTAGCGGGTATAGCGGAAGCAGCTACTTCCGAAAAGTGAATCAAAATTTGGACTCGATTTGCAAAATCTATGGGATGATCGTGCAGGACAAGGTGCCCGGGGAAGAAGTCTCAACTACTGCCGCAACATCTGAAATTGATGCAGCATTGAGTGTATAGGGTAATTGATGCATAGTCCAAGAACTTCCCAGCAAGATCAGTGCATCGGCATTGAGCTCAGCATTGGTGCACGCATCAACACTTGTCAGTGTTGGCAATGTGCACAGGCTTGGTACTTACGTTTACGTTTTTAGCTTTACGTTTTGACGCGTAAAAACGGAGGTTTGCGAAAGGGGCTATTTTTTACGTTTTTTTACGTTTTCACTTCTCGTTCAGATCCCCAGATTACACTATGAAAGTCGCGTACAATGATCAGTCCTCCGCCATCTCCAGCGCCCGCAACACAGCGCCCACATTGCCCTCGGCAAGGGCAACGATGCATGGAACATGAGTTCGTTTTCTACCCATTCCAGCGCGCCTGGCTGTCAATCCCCGGGCTCCCTAAATCTGTATGTACTGACTTTATGTACACGAGGCTGTATTTACGTTTTACTGACGCAGTGTTACGCGCCTTCACGCATAAGAGCGTAAAAACTGCTTTCGTGAGCAAAAACATAAGTACAATTTGTGTTTACGGCGTAGGCACCAAGATTGTGTACACTCCTAGTCCCAATCACTGATAAAAAAGGCCAAAATACGCACTTTCGCAAATGGTGTACTGTGTAACACACTTGACAATAGTGTAAAAATCGTGTTAAATCGTGTGTATATCGTACGAAAATGGGGCTAAACCGTGTAATAATGATTGAGTGAGTAAAAATGGAAATTGCACGCTTTGACGCGGTCTCACATGATTTTTACACTGTTCTAAATCTTGTGTTTTGGCCGATTCTTGCTGGCAAATTGTGAACAAGGATGGGACCGCCAAGGGAGCTCTGGGCCCCGGGGGCCCAGAGAGGGTGGCTGGTGCGTTAGTGGACACAGGAGCTCCACTCAATGAGTGACACATCAAACTGATGTGCACGTGCCTTTGGTGTGCAGATCACCAAAACACGGCGCCTTATTTCGCAAAGATTCCCTACGAAAGCAGATCTGCTTTGATGTGTTCTAGAACACACTTATGTTCTTTTATACCCTTTTAACATATCTTATTTAACACATTTCTGTTTATTTCTGTTCATTTCCGTTCTTTTATGTGATTTTATGTGCTCTTGGACACGACCGCATTTGTCAGGTACGACCGTAAGAACGCGTTTTCTACATTTGGCGTTTAATGCATAGGGAATGCGTTTGTCAGGTACGACAGTAAGAACGCGCTTTCTACATGTGGCGTTTAATGCACAGGGAATGCAGTTTGGGACTGGAGGGGTGCGAAATCGAATGAGGTTGTGTTATGGGACTTCAATCCAATGGATTTAGATCGTTTAGTTGATCTGCAAACATCCACCTGTAGTTTGGAGTGGAGAGCGCTCTGAACACCGTCCAAGGCACTCTGAGAGACCACTTGACGTTGCGCAACTCGGATTGGTGGTTATACAACAGAGAGAATGTCGTTCTGGCCGTCGGAGACAATCCATTGACAGGTCGTACTGTGCTTAAGCGCGCTCACAGGGCTGCACGAAAAAAGGTGTTTCAGTGGCCTGCCATGGCACCATATAGCGCCCCTGGCAATGTATATTGTATATAACGTAGGTTTTTAAACGCTTCGACATGGTAACGTAACGCTTGGCCTTTTTGGCGGAGGTAACAGTAAAATAAACAACGCTCTTTTATAGTAAAGTTTTTGCGGGGCAGCGTTAAAATAATAAAAATGACGTTTTGAAAAACAAAATGCGGAGTAAAAAGCGTAATAGTAAAGTTTTACTCAGTTGGAAGGACTTACTACACTACGGCATTATACTTAGTGCATTGCAGTACATTGTAGTACATTGCAACACCCCCTGCAATCAGATACAAATGCGGGTTGCCCCGGCCCCCAACTCCAAAACCCTGCCCACCCCAACTCATGGCGCTCCTATCCCGCCTCCCCCGCGCCGCGGTCGCCGCGCGCGGCCTCACTCTCCATTCGATTGCCGCCTTTCGCGGCCGCTTTCCCGGCCCTGATTCGACGCTGCTGTCCGTGGCATCCCGGATCTCCGCTCTGCCCTTCGAGGCCAATTTTGCACAAGGGTTCCCAGCTCTGTGTTTCGAAGCCAACCTTGCAAAATGGATTTCATCGAATGTCTCCGAAACGATCACTCCTGGTGGGAGTGATGCGAGTCCTGCGGCCGGCCAATCTTCGCAGGCCGTTCGGGGCAAGGCCAGGCCGCCCTGGTCCCGCTACACGCGCTTCGGCGAGAGATTGAAGACCAACATCGATGCACTGGACATTCGGGTGGGGGAGATCACGGGGGCGGATGCCCATCCGAGGTCTGAGGAGCTGGTGGTCCAGGAAGTGGGGGTTGGGGAAGGGGAGACAAGGACGGTGGTGAGCCGATTCGGGAGGATTTTTGGGAAGGAGGATCTGGTGGGCAGGCGGGTGGTGGTGTTGTGCAACACGGTGAGGGCACGCCTCAACTAGAAAAGACTGCATCAACTGCCACAGTGACTGACTGAAAGTTAGCTTTTGACTTCAATTGTGTCAAAAATGGGACCGAATCGTGTCATTGTGCCGCGCAGGTTCCAACTGACTTATACCCAGCTTGTTCTAAGCCTCAAACTGTGTCGAAATAGGAACCACATACACTGAGGTCAACCACAGGGTTTGGTCCCATTTTCGACACATTTTGATATCTAGCAGGTGCTCAAATGCGTTTGCGTTGTGGCGATTGACCGCGTTTTTGGAGTCACTCTTCACCAGCGATGTGGAGCGCATTGATCTGTCGAGGTCGGTGGATTTGGTGGTTGCAAGGTGGCGGGTTTCTTTGATCCCGAATCTTCCATCGCAATACAGATTCAAAACTGTTGGTGCTGTATTTTTTTGGTTTCTTTTGATCCCAAATATTACACTGCATTTCAGCATCCGTGTTGTTGCTGGCGGTTTACCACAGTGAATCCAACAATGGAAATGTTGTGTTACCTGCACATACACAGACAACGTGTGATGCCCATGTCCCAGTGTCAGTGCCCATCGCGGCCCAACGTTCTTTCAAAGCCAGGCAACACTCAATGAAAACCAATGTCCCCCAAGCGATCAGCACGTGGCGAGAGGTGGAATTTCTGAGTCAGAGAAGTTCAAACTGATAGGATGCTCAACTATGAGCAGAGACATGTATGTGTCCATAGCTGGTAGATCTCTGCCACGTTTACACTTTGCATACTCACATACCAATGCAACATCTTGAAACGCCTTGCTTAGCCTCTTCCGGTGGCACAAGGACCACATCTCTTCCGCTGGGATGGGAACGCGTCTGTACCCTTGAAATGTTGCTTCAATACTTTTGCTGTAGTATTAGTGCAAAGATAGGATCTGCAAATTTATCGTTCACATGGAAGACGCTGATGTGGTGCAAATAAGTTCAGCCACAAGTAAGCATACAAGTAAGGCCAGCTGAGCTCAGCAGCCTGTAGGGCAGTGCACACCTTGTGAGATGCAGATGCTGAGTCGACCATTGTCTTTCACATCCCACCAACTCGCTGTCACCACAAATGCTGCACAAAATCCATGGGATTGGGCTGCAAGGACTCTGTGAACTGATGCCATGTGTAGAAGCAGCTGCAGCCACACACTGCATGCTGCTTGTGATGGTGCTTGAAAGGCACCGTGCAGTTGGCCAGGCCAACAAAATCAGGTCGTTTTTTTCCTCTTTCCCTGAATCCAAAATTTACTCAAGTGCGGTTGCACATGGCCACCAGAAAATGCGCAAGATGCTGGGGGTGATGAGCAACGGCCTGATCTTGTGCGCCCGTGACGCTGCCCTGGATATAGTTCAGCTACTGGAGCCACCGCAGCGTGCCGTGGTTGGGGAGCGAGTGCAATTTGGCAGTCGAGTCATCAAGCAGGGCAGACCTGTAACACCGACCACAGCCTCCAGGTAGGTGCCACCTTCATGTTGCTCACAACAAGATACACACGCTTCACCAGTTCGGGATTAATGATTGCCTTAAGAGAGAATAAGAAATAAGAAATAAGTATGCAACATCAGAGTGAAGCCAGATGCCAAGCACTGCATCCGATGTGGAACTACAAGGTTGTGATCCTGGAACATAGGAATCCATATTCTTACACACAAAATACTGTGGTGGCCATGGCCATGGACCTCCTGCTGGGATACCTGTACTTGGTGAATTTGTACTTTATTGCAGTGAATATTGATGAAATTCACTTGAGCATCACTCAGGCATCTCTCTCATTTTTGCATGGATGCAGCCACCAAGCACACATGGAACCAAATTAGCCAAGTAGCTTTCACTGAACTTCACCTCTGCTGTTTCATCTGCCTGGATAAACATTTGATACCGTGTTTGTCACCTCCTGCTTTTTCTTGACAACAAGCGAGGGTACCAACTTTTGAGTTCACACAATGCCCTCCAACAGACACAAAGAATGGAGATGTTTGGCAGACACCAGCAGCGCTTCAAACCTGTGTGAATTGGGCAAAGATGCTGCAAACAGAAAGAGGAAAAGGGGAAAATTTTCAGGGCCTCGTTCACCCTGCCCAACATGTTTGCCAGGTGTGTGCATGCAGTTGGCGAAAGATGCAGAAAGTCAGGCGTGAATCCAAACTGTCAGTCAGATATCCCGAGTCTGAGTTCAGCAGAAAGCACGCGCTTTCATTTGGCTGCTGCCTGCGCATAAGCAGAAGCTGTGACAAGAGATGCCAACAACTGGTTGTGAATCTGAGCTCAAGTCTGACAATATTGTTCACAGTCAAGCCATGTGCGGCTGCAGGTGAGAACTCTCAAGTGGTTTGCGGACTACTGTAGTATATTCAACACTTAGCCTTTTCTTCCTGAGAAAACGATAAAATAAAAATGATCTTTAAGCAAAATTTTGCAGAGCAAGGTAAACCAAATAGAGTGATGCTCTGGAAAACAAAATGCAGAGTAAATAGCATAACAGTGTTTCTGTTTGATCCGGAAGGGTTGAATATACTATGGCAGCTGTGAATGCAAGCAATCCAAGATGAGTTCAGTAAATTCGAAATTCAAGTTAACAGCCACTGTTGTGCATAATCTGCAGGTGGAAGCTGTGGAGCGAGATGCAGCCCCTCCTCAAAACGGGGCCTGATGGTGCGGTTGCATACAACGGCCAGATCATGTACACAAAAGCAGGGCCGGTCAAAGCCCCCAAGGTGATCAAGGGTTCGGTCACCGCTCTTGTTTGGAGAGAATTGAAACCTGAGGAGGCTGAGGCCCATGCCCAGAGACTGCAGCAATCGGCAAGGGCAGCAAGCAACGAGCCCGCACCAGCAGTTTTGTGAGGATTGCGAGCCATTGGCCCAGGCTATCAGGCAGATGGTGCGAATCTGAAATCAGCAGAACACAGGTGTTTTCTTGCAAGCCATTGGCCCACGCTGGATAAAGGAGCATGTCAACTTCAACAAAGTGGAAAAGGACACCCTGGTCGTGGCATGTGGTTTGGCTGAACTCGAATCATCATAGAGTGTTGGCATTCTGGCTATTGGCTTTCTGGCGCTCTACACAGAGTGGGAATGTAGGGCGCTGACATGCATGTCACACTCTGCCCCTTGTTCATTCGATCCAATTGCCTTGCCTTGCCTTTTCGGTCCAAGATGCCGATGGCGATGCACCCAGCGGACTACATCCAATTCTCTCCTCTGTGTCAGTGGGATGATGTAGAGTGGCAGCCTGAGCTGTTCAAACTATGCAGGTTGGCACATTCAGGCCCTTTGAGCAGCAAGGCTATTTGTCAACAGCTTGTCATGGGTGCCTGAAAACAAGACCGTTCGAAAGCCCTCAGCAAGGCGTGTTGCACAACAGAATTCAAACCAGGAGGTCCCTTTGGAAAGGGATAACTACTGTGCCCAGGAGAGAGGACGGTGTGGAAAGGCTGACAAACGTGCACCTCAGTATGTCCACGCTGGGGATCACCGAGGCTGTCCTGGGCCAATGTGGGGGCTGCAGAGCAGCTCGCTCGCCATTTTTCCAAACCCGGCAGGCCAGCAGCATAGCATGAAAGGGCAGAGATGCCCTTGGCAGGCTGACACAAGGGTGCTGTATTGCGGGGTGCATGCATGGTTGGAGCTGGAGCCACTGCATTCCATGCAGTGCATTTTGACCTTTGAAACATCGCAATGGCTTTGAGTGGTGTGGCAGGCTTGTTGGATGGGTGCGCCCTTGGGTGGCATGGGCACCCCACTTTAGGAAGGAGGACTCCTGATGCAGGGAAGCTGCACTCTCTGCATCTTTGAAATGCAGCATGCTGGTGGGCTTCTTGATTGGGTATGCCTGTGTCTGAGCACAGTGTCTCAGGTGGGGGCAGCGACGGTTGAAATCCATATTGATTTGTTGCCAGGACACAGGAACCTTTGAGCAGAGCAGGCACATAGCCAAGGAACCAAGTACCAAATGCTGATGACCAGATGTTCGTCATGTCACGTCAAGTCGCTGCCCTGTGTGCAATGCAGACAGGTGGAGGGTGGGCAGAATGAACGGAAAGAACATGTTTTGTGATGTGCACATGCCTGTCATAGCCTACAAGGTGCAAGGTCACTGCGTTGTCTTTTGAAGACAAGCTTTGAAAGCAAAGGGATTTGCCTGCCCTGCCTAGTGCTGAGACGACATCGGAGGTTGCAGCAGAAGGCCATGTCTGTGCTGGACATTCCTGTGAAGGACACGCTACCTCACTGCCTCGTGGAACACCATTACTGGAAGCACGATACAAGGCTCAGTATTTTGTAGTACTTAGTTGACTATTTCTTCCCTGAAACGGCAATATGGACTCAATGCATCAGTTCTTTGACAGATGGCTATTGAAAGAGCCCCTGTAACTTTTGTAGGCATTTGATGGAGCGGGGAACAGGAGAACAATGAGCTGGCAGTGGCTGGTTGACAACGCAAAGTCAGCATAAGGTCAACACCTGAGGTGTTGAGATGGGCAAGAAAAGGATGGGCAGAGTGCTCATGGCTGGTTTCAGATCTTCTGAAATACTGAATCAGAATCTGGTATATGTGCTACATCAATGACTCATCGTCCGGAGTTTTGGTGGCAGGTTTGCAATCTGACGAATGTGAATGAGCTGACCCGTCCCGGCAGATTCTCCCCTTGGTCGAGGTGCCACACAATCTGTGTGCCCCTCGCGCACTGTCCAGCCAGAGAATAAACTATGCCCCACCAGCCGTTTCGCTGACTGCCCATTCTTTGAATACTCTGTCTTCTGTACTTTGTCCTCAGGATTTAGGGCACATCGACTGCTGCAAGACTTGTCTGCACATCGTTTTCCAGTACTTCGTTTGCACGGTTCAGGATAGCACATCGACGGCATGTACTTAGCCCCCCTGTCTTTTCCCAGAAGATCCCCTTCTTCTTCCGCTGACAAGGCCAACACTGGTCAGCGGGCCAGTGGTTCAGGATTAAGGGTGTCCGGAAACAAAATGGGATCCACACAAAAAAGACAGAGCGAGTAATTTCGTGCCTTCATGCGGAGAATACATCAGTCCCCCTCTCTCTCTCGGCATGAGATTATACGTTAGATCATTAGGGACAAATACATTCTCCACATCCCCTCCCCCCACCCCCCCCGCCGACCAAGATCTTCGTCATGATGACTCGGCTCGCAAGTGCCCGCCGTCCCGCCGCCTAGCCCCCGCGGTGCTGCGTATATCCGCCACCAGCGCGTGACTCATCCCTCCCTGCCCCTTTTTCACCACACGCCCCACTCCTTCGCTGGCAGCCAACCCGCTTTGGGCACAACCCCCCTCCCTTTGTCCGCATCTCTGGGCCCTCAAGACCCCAGTCTTGGCCCTCCTCTGCTTCCCAGGCGAGCCCTCCGAGGGGTTCACCCGCCGATCCCTTTTTCCGCCGCCGCTTTTCTCTGTGATCGCGATCAAACGCAATCCCTCCGCGTCATCCCGCCAAGGGGGAGCCTGTCGCGCGAGTGAAGCGCGAGCGCGGCGGAGGCGGCTCGGGCGCCGGCCCCGGACGCCGATTGATCGCCGGCCGTGCGGGAGGTGGGTGCCGCGCGGCGCGCGATGGCGTGACGAGAAAGGCGACATCCCGTCAGGGCTGCGCTGCGCGGATCCTCGACGCGGGGGGTGGATCCGACACCTGGCAGCCGAGCGCACGGGTTCCATCTCCTTTCATCGCGAGGAGAGAGTTTTGGTTTCCTTCGCGGGATCTGAAGCGTCGGATGGCGCGCGGAATTGCGGGACCGTCTCGCTGCGGTCCGTGGGGTCTGGGCCGGGTTCATCGGCGGCGGGGCCTTCGCGGGTCGCCACTTTTTGATCCCCCGTGCCGCCCTCTCCGAAACGTCCGGAATGGGCCCGGTCGATGGCATCGACGCACGCGGCCTGGAAAGAGCGCCCCTCACTGAAGATGCGACCGTGCCGGCCGGCGGTGCGAAAGTAATCCATGTTCGCGCTGGCAGCCGCGCTCACGAAAATCTCGCTCGCGACAGCTCCAGTGCTCCAGCAGCTCCAGAGCCGCTGTTCGGCTCCTAAACATTTGTGCGTCTTGCAAAGTGTGCGCCCCATGACATGCAGGCTTCTGGCAGTTTCTGAAATGCCATCACTGTGTTATGCCCTTGTTGCGATCCCCCTTGTCATCCATTCAGGCGGTAGGCGGCCTCGGAGGGCAGCCCGGCGTTTAAGCTTCAGATTCGCCGACGAATTCGCAGTAATCCTGTTGCACGCAGAGACAACCACTTTTTGCCGATCATTTCCCAAATGTTCTGGTGTGCTTCAACAAATCCACAACACCCTTAGAAGGTGTGGGTCTCCTCTCTGTCTCCATCCCGTGCTCATCAAATCAGCGCCCGTTCTTCACAACCGCCGACCTGTGTGTTTGTGCGATTTGATGACGTGGGGTTTGGGGTGTTGCACCGACCATGTTGAAGCCATGTGTAGGCCACTAGGATTGTGACGTTGTCTGACGGGTCAGGTTCAGTAGAGACACGTGACAACACCTATGTGTCTTATTTTTGCATTGTCTTTCAGGATACACACATTCGTTCCCAATTGTTGAATTCCCAAACAATCCTATAATTAATCCTATTATTATTATTGATCCTATTACAATCCTTATAAAATTCCCTTAGAATTCCTGTGTGCTTCAAGAAATCCACAGCGTTATTCCAATGCGTCAATTGCTCTCTACGTCCTTCCTGCGCTTCTTATGCCAGCGCTCTGTTCTTCTCAATCGCCCCTTCTTTCCCACTGGACGATCACTCACTTCTCACATCCTTGTGGCAGCCAGGTAACCAAAACTTGACTTTCGTCACTCTCAATCTAATTGTCCTACCACACTGAAGAGGCATCATTCTACCTTTATCAACTGTCCGCAGCTGGGAAACTGCAACCTAAACTCCATCCCTTTTTACCCAGTTGTCCTACTACACTCAATGAATCCACATCGCCTTCCGTTGTGGTAGGTCTCTCTGCCTTCTTGAGTTCGTGACCATCTCTCCCCTCTGAGGCGATCCTTCTCTTCTCGCACCTTTCAGCAGCCAGAGGGCCTAGCCAGGATGCACGTCTCTCGTGCTGCCGCCCATCCATGGCACGACCTGTCCATCGGCGACAATGCGCCAGATATGTTCAATGCCGTGATCGAGATCCCGCGAGGATCCAAGGTCAAGTACGAGTTGGACAAGGAGACAGGCCTCATACAGGTGCGCGCAAGTCTCAGACATTCCCGCAGACAGGCACTTAGCCAGTTGAGCAAACGTTGGCTGCAATTATCTGTTGGCTTGAGCATTGGCATATTACATGTCCCTGTTTTGTTGCATAAGTTATTGTTGCATAACATCTTTGCCAGTGTGATCTGCAGGCATTGCAAATTGCAGGAGCCATTCAGCGTTGGGTCTGATGTTCCGAAATCATTGTTCCACACACAACCCGGTTGCACAACATACAAACGGTCAATTTTGCAGCTTGTGCATCCTGAACGCAAACCCGAGACCACTGTGCAGCTTTCAGCAAAAAGGGCAGCAAGACTATTGTTGAATCGTCAATTTCCGTGTCAGGCAACTCTTTATAACTGGTCAACAGACCTGACAAAGCACAGTGGTGGCAGTGTCAGTCTGATGTTGATTACGATGTTGGGGTTCGCATACCCCATTGCCGGCAATTTTGAGACCCAACTTCTCTTTCCTCTCTTCCATTCATAGGCCCGTGGCTGTGCGATGCAGCGAGCTTGGCATGAAGTTCCCTTGATGGCATCTTTCAAATGCACAAGTGATAAATTAAATCTGTTGGATTCGTTGTAAGAGTGGTTAAGTGCTGCCATTGGCCTTGCTGTTGGCGATGGAGGGGAGTGTGCACAGCCACCTTGCATCAACCTCGCCTTGAATGCGACACAAAGATCACTTCAATTTCCCAGGACTCCAGTGTCCTTCGTTCAAAAGTCCTCAAGAGTCTCAGACTGAGTCCGTTTTGAACGCAGGTGAATCGAGTGCTCTACTCCTCGGTTGTGTACCCACACAACTATGGCTTCATACCTCAGACCTACTGTGAGGATGGTGACCCGCTGGACGTCCTGGTTCTTATGCAGGTGGCACACGCTGATTCTCTTTTTTTCATGTCCTCTTGTTGGGGATGGAGGGGAGGGGGGGGGATTGTGCATGGAGAGCTGGATGTTCATGTGGGGGCATGCTGGCCTGTGTCTGTCGACGCTATGCCCTCCCCAGGTCACAGGCAGCCAAAGACACTACAATGAAAACACACATGCGGGTGGTGTAGCACAAGTCAGATGCTGCCAGGTGTCCTTGCATTTTGTGGGACAGGGGAGAACGAGCTTGAGAAAGAGATTCTGGGCTTCTTTTCTTTTTCCTTTCCCGGGTTTCCTTGGTTGAGTGGACATTCAACATGAACAATGGACACCGAACACACTATGAACAATACTTGTGGATTTATGTGCACCATCGCTCATCAGGAGCAAGGGCCATGTTGTGTGTGTCATGGCAAATGTAGCCACAGAGATTTGATGAGCATCCGGTTTCTTACTCTCCTGCCTGCAAGCATGAGCCCCTCTACCCTCCCACCCCCTCTTTCTTCATTTGGGTTCTTGGATGATTAATTTTAGAATTGACACTTCAGCTGATTGTAAAAACTGATGGTGGTGTTCAATGCGAGCATTGATCTAAAGTTTGATCAACAACTCGTTTCAAGATGAATAGCCAGCACTTTACTTTACCATTTCTAGCAGAGCTCCACTCCCCTTCAGCTCCTGGCGATCATTACTCTGATTGTCAAATCAAATGTTCAAAAGCCACTGCAGTATATGTGTATAACGTGCCTGTGTGCATGGAAGGAACTGCCACAAGAATGCAGCCTCATGTGATGTGCAGGAGATGGTGGTTCCGATGTGCTTCCTCAGGGCCACGCCCATTGGAGTGATGCACATGTACGACGGGGGGGAGCGTGACGACAAGATAATCGCAGTGCACGCGGATGACCCGGAGTACCGGAACATCAAGGACATCGCCGAGCTATCACAGCACCGCCTGATCGAGATCCGTAGGTGTGTGCCGCCCACCCACCACCTACCTGTCACTCACAGTCACTCAGCGAACTTGGCAGTCACTCAGTCAATCACTCACCCAATCAATGAACCCTTCAGACAATCATGCAAAAGCAACCAAGGCTCCTAAGAATAGTGATCCAACAACAAAGGCTCACTGTCCTTGTTGTTTTCCCTGCCCATCCACCCATCTTCCCTGCTGTGTGGATCCGTTTCCATCATCTGTTTCAGATCGCTTGTGGCCCTTTCTGGCAGTTCTGGGCAGTTTGGGTCCTATCCTATGCTTCAGGAGGGCGCATCTGTTGGGCTCTGGGCTCTGTTAGTAGCTTGGGGCAACTCCTTGGCTTTCACCCTGCATCTTGGTGGGCGCCTTTGTCGTGTACTGCTGGGCTTCGTCTGGCACTCGAGGGGCGTGATTTTGAGCTTTGCGGCTCACTTTCTGGTTTCTGGGGAGCGCTATTGGGCGTTCCCAGGGGCGAAGGGCGTTGTTGGACTTTTTTACCGTTGACAGCGGGCCGTTGCTTCCATTTGTCTTGCTCGACTTTCGACTTTCGATTCTTGACGCTCTGGGTGCCGGTCATGTCGGTCATTTGAGAGTGGGGAGCGGCTCTCACCTTGAAAACCAAGATTCCCTTCTTGCCGCCATCCTGCCAAAACCAGGGTGGGCCAGTGTCCTGAATTCCTGCTGTTTTTAATTGATATGTCGGTGAGCCTGTCCTCAAAATTTGAAAAATACGACAGAAAATGCAATAACTGGCAGAGTTATAAATTGTGTAATTGAGTTGGTAGGTTGGTGTCGCCAAGATAGACTGCAATGGATCCTTTTGCCCGCCAGATCTCTGGCTGCAAAAGAGTTGGCACGTTGACTGTTGATAACTGGCAACAGGTTTTTATATGACTGTTTTTTTAATGCAAGCTACCGAATTAACCACTGATGACATGTAGCATATAGCGTTCTGCATGCTGCGGTAGTAGCCATTGCCGCTACTGACTAGTAACAAGTTAGTAAATTAGGGGCACTCTCGCAATTGCTACTGTTTCATGTGTTGATGAAATGCTGTCGCTGGGAGATCCTTAGCCTTAGAGTTCAAGTTGTCATGCAATGTGACATAGAAGCAAATGGCCTGAATATTGTACTGTAGATCGCGGAGGATAACCCCTCCCACCCCAACCCCCCGGCATTCCACATCAGGGCTGACGTCGGGAATGCTGGTGGCGCTTTCTTCTGTGGCCCCCACGTTCCACATCAGGCCGCTGACTCAGTCCCCCTCCCCCCCACCCCCCCCTTTCCCGCGTTATCATGCTGGCCTGCGTACCGGCAGCAAAGCATACCGGCTCACCCAACTTAGCGTATTACATTAGGCGCCATTCACGGCAGCAATCAAAACCGGGGCCAAAAAGGTGATGGGGCGCAACAGGTCGCTGCATTATGCCGCACCACCCGCGTTGCCAGATTGGCAAAGCCATACGACCCCTGTACGACGCCAATGTAGTATATCATACCAGGGCATAAGGCGCCAATCACAGTGCCAACCAATAACAGCTATTGGGACGTTGCACTGCACTAGAGGCAGCAAGGAGATCACGATGGCCTTGGTTTGAGTGATGGCATTATGGAGCTGGACACTGAGAGTCTTGAAGACATGCTGTTTGATTGAAGGGGGAATATCATGGCAATGTTTAGTTGGAGTCGATTTGATAACATGGGGGTGATATCACATGCAGTGAGATGTAAGAATATGTGAAGATGCTTTTGCATGATGTTTGTACGTGGTGTTGAAGTGAATATTGCCCCCCCCGCACTATCCTGCGTACCCCCGGCGCTCAGCAACATCGGCCATGCTTGATAACGCCGGAGGTGTTACCTAAAGGCCCCAGCACTATTCAACACCCCCTGCGCTATCCTCCGTGATCTATGGTAATACAGTCTGAAATGCAACAGAGCGCTCTGCTCTCTGGGAATTAAAATTGTTCAGCTTAAAGTGCGCTGCAATGTGAACAGTTTTCACGTCGTCCTTTCAATCTGTTTGATGGAGCTTGACCCGTTCTCAGGTTTTTCGAGGACTATAAGAAGAACGAGAACAAGACTGTGAGAGTGGACACCATAGACGGCGCCGAGGTTTCAAAAAAAGTAATCCAGGAGGCGATGGTGAGTGTTGCACTATTGGGCAGGCTCAGGCTGTCGTTCTTTCAAATATCGGCACAAGTCTTAGTACTCTGCAGTACTTTGTTGTGCATAGTAACTGTATTGAATGCCTAACAATGCTTTAGACATTTTCCCTCAAACGATGACAGCATGGCATGCTGGCAGTGGTGTTCATTTTCCTCAAGGGAAAGGATCTTCCTTGGGTTATTTATCATTGTCAAGATTGAGACTTCTGGAGAACTAGGCACATCAATGGTGTGAATTTGTCGATTGGCGATTGTAGAAATTTGGAAAAAATTTAGGATAGCAGAAGTTTATTGATAGTGGAAATTAATGGTACTGGAAATTGAGGAATGCTGTGTTGCTGTCCAGGACTCCTACATCGACCTGTGGGTGCCCAAGATGCGGAGGGACGGCAGGCGCCGCGGTGGCTCCGGCGGTTCGGACGCGGCGGACGCCGGCTGACTATCGCACCGACAAAACAACCAACACCTTGATGGAAGCTGCTCGTCACACACAGAGGAAGCACAGCGGAACTCGCAAGGAAGTTTCCCAGCCCATGACGTCGCAAAAGAGCCGCATGACGCCATGGTGGGTACGGGGAACCTGCAAGGAAGTCGTGCGTCGTCAGGGGGTGTGGTGTCGCGTGAGTTGAGCCTTGCGGGGAGGTCGGCGGAGGGCAGGATGGGAGACAATGTGGGAGGCCTTAATCGTCGCCAGCTCTTAGTCATCGCCAGCTGTGTTTTCGTGCCGGTAGGAGTGGCGGTGCTGGCGTGGTTGATTCATGGCTGACGTGGCTGATGCGTGGCCGGCTGGTTGGACATTACGTCAGTTTTTCGTTGTGTGATTATGACGAAAACTACAACACTCACACTTGCGGCCGGCACCAGGCACGGGAAGCCAAGCTGTAACCAGATGCGTTACTGGACAAGCTCGCCAATCAAATAGCACTCGCTGTTATTGTTCTCAATTAGCAACTGCCATATCTTCATGCTGATTTCGCCATAATTAGCACCCTTGTCACCGCGTCCAGCCACACCATATTTAGCATCATTTCCTTAATAGTTACGTGTTCATTTCCCTCGTCCTCACAATTACTGCTGTGCATTTTGCAAAACGCCACACGGTCGAAGGGAGACACGTGCTCTTGCAGGGGCCAGTTCACGCCAGAGCACACAATGTGAAGTCTGGACACGCTCAACAGCAGGCGAGCAGTGAGTCTCGCCGCATGAATGGTCATGAAGGTCATGGAGATCATGAAGTCATGAGGTCATGAAGGCCATTAAGGTCACGAAGGCCATATTGAGGTTTAGGGTGCTAGATTTGAGGGTTTGGGCTCCCTAGTACCCTCCATGATCTTCACATTCAGTAATGATAGGTATCGGACAATCCTCGCTCTCTTGGGGCTTTCTCCCTGATGCAAATTATGGACAAATTGGTTACGTCCAACTCACCGCCACAACATTAGACGCAAGAGAATAGGTGCGCTATACTGGAAAATTGTAAGACCCATAAAGACATAGAAGAACACCTTGTAGCGCAGCTCATGGGGTTCCGCTCAGTCGTCGCCTCTGTTTTGTTTTGTGACTGACCTGCAGCCCAGCGACACGCTGGGCGGTGTCACGTCGTGACTCCCTTTCCTGGCTGACAAAGCACTCCACCAGACATACACAATACTGTCCACTACTGTATGTATGTACTGTATACTAGAGTGCACAATACTGTGTACCGCATCAGTGCTACAATACTGTGTACCCATCTCTACTAGTACATGTTGGCCCACAGTACTTTTGGGGGGAACAGGAACGGGAATGGCATTCCGTTCTTGCAAGCAACCTCTGGGGCAAAAGGCAGCGGAGGAAGCATCGAAGAAGCGGCCGCCAACAAATCCCCATGCTGTATTTCAAGTCACAAGGGATGTGGCTGCTCCGGTTGAGAGCGATTGCGGTCTGGGGTTGTGGCCACATTGGCGAGAACAAGATCGCGCTTTTCCATGGTATAACGACCTTGAAGCCTGCCGATTTCCCACGAAATCAACTCTTTCCAGGAGAGGTCTGTGAATTTTGTCAATCCTTAGGAGCTCCAAGGTGAGACGCCGCCAAATACTCTCGTGCACGATATTTTTCTTGTGTAAGCCGCTGTTGTCTCTATTTCATCATTAATATGGGCCGTTTGAGGATGCATGAGGACTGCACCGTTATTGTCCTCAATCGTTAGCTTTCTGGGCCAGAAGCACGTGGTCTTAGAGAGTGCCAACTCGATCTCCGATGGACTGCCTTGCACATGTACGTAATACGTACATACTTCCTCCATCCCAAATTAATTGTCGTCTACGAATTCGGGGCGCTACTTATCCATGTTATCTATACCAGTTTTTGATAAAAAATAGCACATAGTTGTGCTTGTATCTTGGGAGTATGCTGTCAAAATTTCAAGCTAATCCATTAAGTATTGAGGATTTGGCAGTACTTTGTAGCAAGGGGTCTCCAGCCAGAAAACGGCCGGTTTGGGGTCTCGCGGCGCGAATGGCCAGTTTTTGGCGATGGTGAGGGGCACGCCTTCGTGGCGGCGAAGCAAGGCCGCCTATAAAGAACTGGCCACGCCGCTTAGATTGAAGGTGGGGGCGGTCCTTATGAAGAGGCAGAGCGATAGAAAATGGGCTCCCAACGGCCTGATCGACGAACTGGCCGTGGAGTATGGCTGCGATGCGAGAACGATCCAACGAACCGGAAGAGCATTTCGGACCCAGATCTCCAAGCTAGGTGCTTTGGATCTCCATCGCCACCGCCGAGCCAAATGCGGGAGGCCCCCCAAGACTTGCAAAGAGGTGTGAGAGAAGGTGTTGAGCATCAGCCCGGTTAGGCGCTGGACAATCCAGGCAATGGCCTTGAGGACGGGAATGGCAAAATTGACGATTTTCCGGAATTTGAAAGGCTTGGGGGCAAGAAGAACCGTTCGATGGATAAAGCCATGTCTTTCTCAAGAGCAAAGAGTTGCAAGCTTGCACTGGATTGTAGAGCACACGCGTAAAGTTGGGCGCAAGTGGCAATTTGTGGATTTTGCGAACATGATCCACATCGACGAAAAGTGGTTTTATGTGATGAAAGATGCCCAAAAAGTTTAGGTGCTGCTAGAGGATGGGCGTGTGGGTGCTCCAAAAGCACAAAGCAAGACTTTTATAAAGAAAGTCATGTTTCTAGCTGTCGTGGGGCTGCCCCATAGGCGGCCAAACGGGTCCCATTTTAGTGGGCTTGTTGGAATATGGCCTTTTGTAAAGGAGGACGTTGCGGCTCGATCTAGCAAGAATCGAGCTACAGGTGAGGCACAATTGAAGCTAGTTTCATTTGATGGGGATGCGTGGAGGGATCTTATGGTGGAAAAAGTCTTCCCTGTTGTCAGAAGTGCTTACAAGCACTTGAAAGAGCACGTTGTTATCCAAGTGGATGGGGCCAAGCCGCATACCAAATCGTCGATCCAAGCATCAATTGAGGCCGAATGCTCCAAGCAAAATTATAACATTACTGTAGAGCGGCAGCCAACCCAGAGTCCGGACTTCAACATCTTGGACCTTGGGTTTTTTCACTCATTGCAGGTTGGTGCATCGGAGATCAAGGATGATGGGGATCTCCAAGACATCATCGATTCTGTGACAACAACGTTCTACGATCAAGATCCAGATACGCTTGAGCGTGTCTGGCAAGCTCTCTTCCATGTGATGGACACCGTGCTTTGTTGTGATAGTGGCAACGACTATGCCTTGCCGCATGCAGGGACAGGAGCAGCCCAGATGCGCGGAGATCTTCCGTGGACGTGGAATGTGAATGCACATTTTTTTGACCAGGCAAGGGCTTTTTCGGGGGCCCCTCAAAAGGGGTAGGGTTGAACATTTTTTCTTGAAAACTGGTAGTTTAAGGTTTTGGGACCCAATCTTTTCGATTCTGACCTTGTTTTGTAATTTGAAGACCATCTTTGTAACGAATTTTGTTTTTTAAACAGACGACAATTAATTTGGGACGGAGGAAGTATTATCTGGAAAATGTGGCACAAGCAAGTAATATAAAGTACTGAACGTTCGCCAATTATATGGTAGCACCAACCTTGCATGGGGGGCGTTGTGGTCTTCGGTGGTAGCAGCGAGCAAGCGGCGTGGTTGCGTTGTTCCGTGGTTGCGGGCGTTGTGGCCATGGTCCATGACTCGTGGAGCGCTACTGGTGCACAGCGTGGCTAGTTGCAGTGGTTCTGGGCAGGTATGGAGAATACTACTAGAAAACAACACTTTTCAGACACGTGCCGCAATACCATTCTGACACCAAATAACACCATCACAGTTATTTTGGTGGCATGAGGATAGCTGCAATGGCATGAATGAATGTTAAATTGCATCACAGTTGGCACTACTTAACATCGTCTTCTGCTCGTGTAAAGCGAGACAATTGGATGTACGATTAACATGGTTTCATACGTACAAAACAAGACTACTGGGAACATGCTTGTAACATTACCACAAGTTCATTAGTCTGCTGCAGCAACAGCGGTGCGCATCAAATACCAAGGGGCAGGATTCTTACTGGTCGGCAACGGACACGGGATTTGCATCCTTTCATTTGAGGTGCGCCTGTGAGCAATACGCAAAGCAACGGCATGCCAACAAAGAGGCCGCCATTGTGCACAGCCGCTTGGTCCATTCGCACACAGTGTTGCGCGGCAGCGCGCAACAGGGGGTGAGAGAGCGTACCGGTGCGGGCGCTCGAAGGCCATTAAGCTGGGACCCAGCACCGGACCCCAAGTACTACGTACTTGGGGCCACACCCGAGCGCCGGTACCTGGGGGTACCCCAGGTACCGGTGGCCACCGCCCTAGTGCCGGTCTAAGCACTCTAACCCCTACACTATCGTAACCGTAGCCCTCTTGGGCCGGTTACTGTAGGGGAGTTGTCGATACCCCCGGGTACCGGTTAGTGCGGTACATCACTCCCCACCCCCCTTTAGTCGCGACCCGCGACGTCAGACCAGAAGCTGGCAAGCCGACACAAGAAGCGGGGGGTACGGTGGGAGGGGAAACGTCTTGAGCCCGCCGAAGGGACGGGGGACGAAGGGAGAGGCGGGGGCGACGAACGCCATCGAGGAGGTGAGGCGGAACGAAGATGGAGGGCCACGAGAAAATCCCAGGGAGACGGTGGGATGTGGCAGCGAAGGGGAGCGCCCCCGCAACAATATAATATAATCAAATGGGATGGGGCCGTGGATGCCGAATGCGGACATCGGCGGCAGGATAGGTGAGACCGCGGAGAAACTCCCGGCGGGGAAGCGGCCAGGCAGAAGATACAACTGGACCCCGGTAAGAACGGGGTTGGGAGAGGCACACCAGAGGGGGAGGCCCGCCGAAGCTGCCCCCCCAAAATGGGCAAGAGGCGTAACAAGGGGCAATGCACAAGGAAGGGGGTGACATGTCCAGTGTAGCGCCCC